TTGGCATCGTTGGATAGAGAATTGAAAACTCGATTCAGTCGTAACAACGTGAGTGAGGAAATTCGAATAGTTTTGGCCCAGAAAGCGAAATTTAAATATCAGACACTTAGTTGCAAGATTATGCCAAAATTCCATGTTTTGCGTCCCATTTTTGCACATTTCTCGGAGACAAAATGAGCAAGAACGCCCATTTGTACATCATTTTAGACAGAAATAAATGTAAATAAAAAATAAATAATAAACATATCTTCCAAACCCGTTTAGGTCTGAAGGTGGAATTTTCGGAACTTATGGACAAATCTTCAGGGCTTAGGCCTGCCAAAGCTCAATTTAATTGGAGCAACCGTTGATTTCCAGCCGACCTGTACAGATGTAGATGAAGAGTATTTCAATAATTTGAGGGTTGAACAGCAAATCGGGTCTTTGTGGCGGCTTTATTGCACTAGACCAACTCGAAATCCCCAGCCTTTCATATTCATTGGATTTTTGGCAATAATGCAACGAAAAAATGCACCTTTGAACCACAAGAACCATTCTGTTTGATTAATCTTGGGCGGTAAGATCGGCTGCTGTGTAAGATAAACCGGTGATTTATTGGGAATTTTTTAATTCATCACGCCTAGAAGAAGGATTCGGCATTTTATGGCCTGCTGGGGCTGTTTTTTCGGTTTCAGATCGCTGATCAAAGAAATCGGGCTCCAAGGGTTGCTAAAAATGCTGCACCAATCGATAATCTTCAGCAGCGTTGCCGCGTGGCGCGCCACTGGAAAACGTGTCAGGGGGGCAACGGCCTAGATTTTCCACGACACGGAAAACTCACCTTCGAATTTCACTGAATGTAAACGTTGCGATCAAAAGCCAATCAGGCCTTGCAAGGCGACATCCAGGAAGTCCCCAGTTAACAGCTATCTTTTTAAAGCCTGAGGACTTTTGCCTAAGCAGCGGCAGTTTGATGCATTTTTTTCACAAACTAGCTGGGGCTTCGGCTGCAACTTCATCAACTGCAGTATTCGCAAATGCTTCAAAAATCTTGGAGCCCAAGACAAAGCTGCTGTCTTAAGAAGGCCAGTGTCTCGTTCGCACTTTTGAAAATTCAAAAATCCTGCCTGATTGAGCAGACAAAGACAAACTCACAAGGTTGAATAGCGCAAAATCGTTGAAGTTTTTGAAATCGCGTTCAAAACTCGCCAAGTTTTAACCACAAGTAATTTAAGTTTCTGATTTTTCACTCTGGGGACTGAGAGAAACAAGCGGTTTTCTACATCGCATTTGCCTTCGGCTGTTCCACGTTTTTGCTATCGAAAGCTGGATTTTTTTAATTAAAAAAGGGCAAAAACTGGAAAATTTGAACACCAGTTTTATGGAAATTAATTTTTTTCTTCGCTTGCTGTTATGGGAATTGGATGCATTTTAACACTCCGGGCTTACACGGATTTAGGTAAACAATTACCCCCAGCAAAGAAAAAGTAAATAATTGTCGACTTTTAGCTTCTTCATTGGCCTCCTAGCTATTCATTAAAAGAGTTCTGAAGATATGGTGATATCCTTACATTAACCTGCTCTGTCCTTCTTTAAACGGTGCGGTAATGAAACTCCATTAAGCCGAAGCTATTCAGCATTAAATAACGCGGCATTAGAATGGATTAAATAATAAAAAATTGCAGATAATGGAAAATGAAATATTGCGTCTTTAGGGCACATTTTCCTGACCCAGTTTTCAACACACGGCCACTGATAATGGCACTAAACAGCAACTAACCGCGCACTTACTTTTGAAATTTTAACACCCAAAAGTCTCTTCTATCTGATCCCTTTAGCAACAAACCACTGAAGTAAATATTTATTGCTATTGCTGAAGCACACACTTTTTTAACGCTGAGACTGTCTGGAATTCTGTGTGGGCAAAATGATGCATATTTGAGGTCCAAAAAGTGTCCACCGGCTTGGACAAACACTTTGCGATAAGCGATCGCTAATAAATTAGTCAGGTTTGCGTGCTAATCGTATGGACTTTACCGCAAAAACTAACTTGTGTCTTAAATAACTAATTTACAGATAAAGTTGGTCAGCGCTCAACGGTCACCAAGTTGAAGGTATTTTGGTCACTCTTCTATTGATTGGTCTTGTATTGATCTAATTAACTCTAAAAATAGCCGGAAAAAACTTGGAATTTTAAGCAACTGCTTGGGGTATTGGGATTTTTCAGTTAAAAATTGTTTAGTTCCTTAAAGGCTTTCGCAATCAATGCAGATTCAGATGTTCACAGCGTTTCAGTTTCAAGCATGTGAAGCTGAAATTTGACCAGACAACTAAGAGAAAACTGCGATCTCGCTTTCAAAAA